GCATGGATACCATCTCATGTCGGTATAGTATGAAACGAGACTGCAGACACTCTGACTCGCAAAGGGCCCAGCCTGTGCGAAACCGAAGACTTAAAATACAGCGTTCAGGATTTTATTAGCATTGTTAAAAGTAAAATTAAATCAGAATGGAAAACCGAGTTGGCCAAAGCAAATACTTTTAGATTCAAATTAAATAAAGACCTTGTTGTAAAAACGGAGATCAATCACCCATCGCGCTAAATTTGTGGGTTAATCACAAGACTTAGAACTAAAGATTTAATTACCGACCATAAATATAAGCCAGTGAAGTGCGAATGCGGTCAAATTTTGACCGTTAATCATGTCTTCATTACATGCAATAAATTGGAAGATAAAAGACTACCTGTAATAAGTTTAATGGAAGATGCCAAACTTCAATATACCCTCCAAAATGTCCTCTTCCCCACTCGGAATATGTCATATAAAATTTATGAAGCGATCTCAAAATTCATAGAAGAATCGGGAATCAACTGTTAAGTAAGTTGCGGAAAACAGCACTAGTCATGGAAAGATAACTGGTTGTGTAGAACAGGTGCTATAATAATATCAGAATATGTTCACATTAAGATAGGGAACTACATATATAGTTACAAAGGAAGGAACTATTGTTGTAGGACAGTATGGCGGTTCAGTCTACTGCATGATTTAATATAATAATATAATCTAATAATAATGACAAAAGGAATAAGGATCTACACAACCCTTTATTAACAATGGCAGTGCATATATATCTATATAATTTGTATTTAGTGTAATGTACTGTTCTTATAAATGTTTAAATTGTTCTGTTTTGTGTTGCTGCTGTCTCTTCTTTTCCTTTTCAGGTAACTTTTATCTGGGAAGAGTTAGACACAGAGAAATATTTTAATGGTCTGCAGAAAATAAATGATTTTAAAAACCGAAGTTGTGATGTGTATAAAAGGACTTTTTAACTAACTTTTATTATATGAGATCTGTGCTAAAGGATTTGTTTTAACTAACTTTTATAATATGGAAAGAACCACACGGCCATATTCATTTGTAAATACTCCACGGATCCAGCTATGTGGTTTTTACTGTGAGAACTTCGCTTTTCCACATTAAATAGCCGATTTCTTTTTCCCACAGGGTTTTTTCGACCCGCTGCCATGGCATCAACAGCTGGATCTCCCATTTTAACTTTCATTATGACAAAGTGAGAAGATGACCCGCCCTCTCTTCCCGCGACAACGATTTTAAAACCATTTTTAAAACCGTGTTTTAAAGTGATTTTTAGATATACACGAACTTTTAATTATTTAAAATCTGTTTTAAAGTGACGTTTAGATATACAAGAACTTTTTATTATTTAGTGCTTTTACCTAACTTCTATATTTTACTCATTCAGATGTAAATAACTTAATTAAATCAACCTGTCCATAATATCATACATTATGTATTGGACGTTAAATTTGTAATAAACAACAACAACAACAAGAATCATTATACATTATTGTATTCAAAATGTCTGAACGTCCTGCAAAGAGTGTCCGAACAGATTTGACATTAGATGTAAAGCGGCAACTTATAGCAGATTTCGAGAAAGTTCCACGACCTGCGCAGAAGGAATTAGCCGTTAAGTATTCAATTGGCCGAAATACTATGGAAGGGTATCGCTGCCAATATTAAATGCTCTGCGACAATGTCTTTTCTATTGATTATATGTAAAATGTACAATGTACAAAGTCATAATACCGGTAATGATAAAGTCAAAATATCTCTAAGGCAAGAGTTAAATGTAAAACGTCAAATATTAAGTGTTAAATGACAAATGTTTTGTGGGAAAATGATTTTTTTGAGGTGTCTACATTTTACATTTCTCTCATTACATTTTACATTTGCTCTCTGCCACATCCCATTTGTCCTTCACGCATTCTACATAGCATGTTTCACACAGCATCAACTTGCATATGCAAATGTAGGATACCACGTGACTTATTAACATATACGGAAACCTGGCACACTTAATTAAATCAACCTGTCCATAATATCATACATTATGTATTGGACGTTAAATTTGTAATAAACAACAACAACAACAACAACAATCATTATACATTATTGTATTCAAAATGTCTGAACGTCCTGCAAAGAGTGTCAGAACAGATTTGACATTAGATGTAAAGCGGCAACTTATAGCAGATTTCGAGAAAGTTCCACGACCTGCGCAGAAGGAATTAGCAGTTAAGTATTCAATTGGCCGAGCTGCTATGGAAGGGTATCGCTGCCAATATTAAATGCTCTGCGACAATGTCTTTTCTATTGATTATATGTAAAATGTACAATGTACAAAGTCATAATACCGGTAATGATAAAGTCAAAATATCTCTAAGGCAAGAGTTAAATGTAAAACTTCAAATATTAAGTGTTAAATGACAAATGTTTTGTGGAAAAAAGATGTTTTTGAGGTGTCTACATTTTACATTTCTCTCATTACATTTTACATTTGCTCTCTGCCACATCCCATTTGTCCTTCACGCATTCTACATAGCATGTTTCACACAGCATCAACTTGCATATGCAAATGTAGGATACCACGTGACTTATTAACATATACGGAAACCTGGCACACTATAAGCCAGAACAAGGATATTCACGACACTATAACAGGAAATCAGCCCTAGCACACAATAAAAATTTACTCACCTTGACACTTTGGATGGCACTTTATGATGATTACTGGGGGTGGACTGTGCAATGTCCAAATACGAAATTTCAGGTATCATGTTACATATTAGTGAAAATCACATTCATTTCTGTTTGTAAATATGTAAATAGTTTTCTGGTACAATCGTATTTTCATAATTTAAATCCAATAAATATCACACTATTAAAGGGGTATTCAAGTAAAAATACTGGTCTAAATACGAAATTCCAGATACCATGTTAAGTATCACTGATTGCTCTTTTCAAATATGCAAATAATTTTTTCTGGCACATTCATATTTGCTTAACTTTACAAAATAAGATTAAAGTTGAAGTGAAGGAAGGGGGGGGGGGGACTAAGCTAAACTAAAATAAAGATACAGTGTTTAATCAAAAATTTTCTATGTCCATACTAAAAGATGTATAGTCATTCCTCTCTTTAAATATATTATTTATTTGTTGGGCACAATGCTCATATATTGTTGTTTTTTTAATGGATCAAAGTAGGCTACTCAACTTTGTTTATAGAGAGACCGGAAAGAGTGGGGGTGTTTAAAATATAAAAATACGGGTATTAATACGAAATTCCAGTTATTGTGTTATAAATTACTGGAAAGTATGTTTCTTTGGCGGCTTGAATCTATCAATTATTTCTGGCACATTCAAAATTACGCACGGTCGTCTAGATAGTATCTTATGGTGTGCCAGCTTGATATCTTTTGTCGTGCGGTGAATATCCTTATAATGTGCTTGTGTCGGGTTTCCATATATGTTAATAAGTCACGTGATATCCTACATTTGCATATGCAAGTTGATGCTGTGCGAAAGTTGCCATGTAGAAAGCGTGAAAGACAAATGGGATGTGGCAGAGCGCAAATGTAAAATGTAATGAGAGAAATGTAAAATGTAGACACGTCAAAAAAGCATTTTCCCACAAAACATTTGTCATTTAACACTTAACATTTGACGTTTTACATTTAACTCTTGCCTTTGAGGTATTTTGACTTTATCAATATCGGTATTAGGACTTTGTACATTGTACTGTTTACATATAATCAATGGAAACCACATTGTCGCAGAGCATTTAATATTGGCTTCGATACCCTTCCATAAGCTACAGTGTCAGACATATTAAAGCGTAAAGATGAATTTAAACAGAAGTTTGCCGACATGTAAATAATTTTATGAATATATTGTACGCATGCATTGTTATTGTAATTAAAATTATTTAATGTAATAAAATTTTGAAAGTACTGAAAGGTTTATCATTTTTAAAGGGAATAGCATTCTGGTGATTCGAAGCTACAATATAAAAATATTTCAGGTTTTCGAAGTTACAGTATTTCCGGTTTTGGAGAAAGCTCGGTATTCCGACACGCTGTGTGATCCGAAATATGGTAACGATCCCGTACGATGTCGGATGTGACAGAGTCCACTGTAATGCATATAAATTTCAAAAAGACCGGATGATCACGTTTGGCGTTAGGGCGTTCACAAGGTTCAATAATCTGAAACATGGGTCATAACTCTAGACCTAATAAACGGAAATTGCTGAAATTCAATAGGCTTCTTCGTTTCACTAATTTAAATAATGCATATTAATTTCACAAAGATCGGATGATAACATTTGGCGTAATAGCGTTCCCAAAGTAAAACAAGGGCATTAACTCTAGACGTAATGAACATAAATTATTGAAATTAAATAGGATTCTTCATCTCACTAAACCACATATATCAATTTTAAAACAATCGGATAATAACTTTTGGAGTTAGAGCGTGCACAAGAAATTGTGGGCGTATAAAATAGGGGGGCGGGAAGTGTTCTCAGGGGGTGCTGTAAAATTGACGGACAATGTATATCTATTGTTTTTATGGTCAACATTTTTTTCCCGGGGGGGAGGCAACACTATTTGCAAGGGGGGGCTGCCCCCCCCCCCTCCTCAATTACGGGCCCGTAAGCACGACGGTAAACTCTCATTGTTTAAACGGATATTGCCAGATATTACTGATTAACTTGCAGAAAGAACAGACAATTACAATAGATCAGATGCTGACTTTCGCTATTAAAGCATTCTATAAATTCTACAGAGTAATAACGGACAATAACTCTAGAAGTAATAAATGAAAATTGCTGAAATGCGATAGACTAGACTTCATAGTGTCACTAATTTGAAACATGCATATAAATTTCAAGCAGATTTGATTATTAATCTAGAAACACTACAAGGGTCATAACTCTAGCCATAGTTAACAAGGTTTATATTAAATTCTGATCTACTGTATGAACATTGACTTACCCACATATGAGATCAAGTTCGATATTATCACCTTGTAAAATAAGATGAATGTTTTCTTTAGAATACAGTTCATTCACGCACGTTTTAAACTCTGCACATTGTTGTCGAACTATGTCTATATGTTCTTTTATAAAACTTTGATGTCGACCTGAAAAATACATCAGATAAATTAATTAAAAAAATTTGTATTAATCAATCAACGAAATCCTGTTTAAATCCAAGCCATCCGTAGGTCTACAGAGTTGATTTTGTGCTTGTTGTGTAAATAAAGATCTAATTTATAATTTCTATGACATCTGAAGCCTAAAAAAAGACTTGCAATAATCAGATTTAGCCTTTGCATAATGTATGTTTAATTAGTGTTCGGATATTCGAACAAGAATACTATTCGAATATTCGACGGGTCTTGAAATTTGTATAGTATTCGAATACTTTCAATTTTTAATATGAATATATTTAAAGTGGTTTATATTCAATTTATTATAATTTCTAATCAATTATGAAATACTTGAAATCTCTGTTGACATGTGAACAATGCAAAAGATTATACTTTAGCAATTGCCAGTGGATCTTTTACGTAAACTGCCAATTTATACACAAGACCCCGGACCTCGACGTTCGTATGGCCCTATGCTGCGGAAGTTAGCTAGGTTCATACTGTCATCAAGTTTTTCCATCACCAATGTATAGGAATTCTTCCGCGCTGCATCCGAAACGAAAGCCATCTCTTTCATTCGTGGGTCTAGCACTGCAGCAGTTTCCACCAGTCTCTTCATGTTGGTGATGAATGTGGGTTCACTCGGCTGTTTCTTCATGACGAATCCAAGTAAATTCATCACAATGGATAGATGACGTCGAACAGTGAGTTTCGCTACACATTTGTTCAGATATAATGTGGAATCCCATTGGCTGGATTCTCTGCCGAACGCGCGATGCACGACGAGATCTCATTGTCAACGGCAAATCAAACGATGTGATTTTTGACATTGCGGGATATTATACAGATTAATTTCTCGAACTCCTCCTTAGAATTTACGGTATTCTTATAGTTACATGGTACTTTTTCAACCCGATAAGTATTCCTATCCGGTAGTGACGAATTTCTCCAGTTTAGAACTTTGAAATTTCCAAATGCAGCAGTTGAAAATTGTGAAATGATCGATTTCAATATTTTCGTGGTTTTTTCATTGTAAGCATATTGGTTTTGCTTAATACTTCAAATTCCCGCATGTTTGAAGGATTTTAAGATAGGTTGCCAGGCAACGAAACAAACGCCCACAGCAGCTAAATCGTCCGATCGGTCGACAAGGGTTATAGCATATTTATTCCCTTTGTAGGTAATTGGGGGTCTTTACAAGACAGTTCCATACAGATCAGATTATAATTTTTGCCGTTTGAGGGTTCACAAGGTTTTACAAACTGAAACAAGGGTCTCAACTCTGGAAGTAATCTACAGAAATTGTTGAAATTTGACAGTTTTTTTTCAATTTACTAATTTAAATAATGCATATAAATTTCATACAGATTAGATGATCACTTTTGTCACAGGTTCACAACCGCCATAACTCTAGATATTATTGACGGAAATTGCTGAAATTCAATAGATCTCTGTTTCACAAATTTAAATGATGCATATAAATTTCATACATATTGGATGATAATTTTCATCAATCGAACATTAACAAGGTTGAACAAAGTGAAACAAGGGCCATAACTCTAGAAGTAATAAACGGAAATTGCTGAAATTCAAAAAGCTTCTTCTATTTACTAATTTAAATGACGCATGCAAATTTCATACAGATCGGCAGATAACTTTTGATGTTAGAGCGTTCACAAGGTTCAATAAAGTGAAACAAGGGCCATGACTCTAGACTTAATAAACGGAAATTGCTGAAATTCAATGGTTTTCTTCGTTTCACTAATTTAAATAATGCATATAAATTTCAGAAAGATAGGATGATAACTTTTGGCGTTAGAGCGTTCACAAGGTTAAACAAGTGAAACAAGGGCCATAACTCTAGAAGTAATAAACGGACATTGCTGAAATTCAATAGACTTGTTCGTTTCCCTAATTCAAATATTGCATATAAATTTCACAAAGATCATATGTTAACTTTTGGCATTAGAGCGTTCACATGGTTCAACAAAGTGAAACAAGGGCCATAACTCTAGACGTAATAAACGGAAATTATTGAAATTAAATAGGATTCTTCATCTCACTACTGCAAACAACATATATCAATTTTAAAATTGTGGACGATGGACAGACGGACTGACGTGGGCGACGGCAATATACGTCCACATTTCTATGTGGGCGTATAAAAACTATGAAATTAGCAATCCACCAAAACCACACAAAGAAAAGGAAGATTTTGGAAGCCATCAACATAAAACTCTACAAACCAGCATTAAATTTAGATGAAGGCATCTATCTACCACGTGCTTATGATGCAATAATTGCAGGAAATTGAATTATACTTTATTATAAACTATGTGAGATACCCATATGTCTATAATTTTACTGTTTTTGTTTTTATCATCTACGAAACAATATGTAGTCTCCCTTATAATTGTGTGCTATAAAATAATTACCGTCTATATGTTTTGATAAGTTTTCTTCTGATCTGTTACTCTACTAAGGTTATGATTAAGTGGTTTCCCCAAATGGTTTATTGGCTATAATTAGTTGTTATATATTTTGTGTATATGATTTCATAAGCTCTTATTCCTATATCGCAGATTGATATATTAAATGGTTTCCCTATTGATTATGATTAATTAGCTGTTACTTTTTTGTATATAAACCTTCTGTACATTATTTTCATTATAGCATCTTCAAAACTAAAATTAAATCAGAATGGAAAATTGAGATGGCCAGAGCAAATACTTTTAGATCCAATTTAAACAACGATCTGGTTGTAAAGACGGATATTAATCACTCATCGCGCAAAATTTGTGGGTTAATCACAAGATTAAGAACTGAGTATTTAATTGCCGACCATAAATTTAACCCAGTGAAGTGCGAATGTGGCCACAATTTGACCGTTAATCATGTCATCATTGCGTGCAATAAATTGGAAAAGAAAAGACTCCTTGTACGAAGTTTAATGGAAAATGCCAAACTTCAATATATCCTCCAAAATGTACTCTTCCCCCTCGGAATATGTCATATAAAATTTATGAAGCTATCTCAAAATTCATAGAAGAATCGGGAATTAAGAGTGTATCCGCGAGAAGACCATGCAAAAATCGCAAAAAAGTGCTAAGATGGGGGGTCGGAATTTTTTGATCAAACTTATGGTATGACACCCCCTAGGGGCAAGAGGTAACATGCTGAAGTGGTTACAGTCTGATGTCGCTCTAAAGGACTGTACAGGAATTATTCATTTTATGGGTAAACTTGCGGTTTTCACATGTGTATTTATCACCTTTTTTAAGCACAGACTGCATTCTATGGTGGAATAGAAACCTTCTAATTTTGACCCTGTCTGATAAAGAGGGTGGTCAACTTCTACCCCAGCACTAATTTGAAAAAAAAAATCAGTACATACTAATTTTGTGTGGACTTGTTCTAGCGTACCATATTCACATTGTCCTTATAGTGCAGAAAAAGAACACTGTAACTTTTTCTTTCATGGTCGTTCGCCAGAATCGTCTGAAGTTAATATTGTGGTAACAGCACTGAGTCATCGATAAACTGTGTGAGTTTGGTCTTTCTGCTACGTATAGTAAAGGTGTAAGGACTTGCCAAAGTTGGTATTTGAGAAAAGACAGATTTTGGCAATTTCACCATATGAAAAATGTTTTTTCAATTTTCTCATACAGGAATTGGAAGATTTATCTAATATTGCACATTTATGTGTTTTGGGACTACCCCAACGTATAAACCAAATTTGGTCAAAATCTGTGATTGAAGCCTTAGCACCTTCTGCATGGTTTTCTCGCGGACACGCTCTTAACTGTTAGGTTAGTTGCGTTAAAAGAGCACTAGTCAAAGAAAGAAAACTGGTTGTGTAGACCAGGTTGGCCCCTAAGCCACCTGGATGCTTTAATAATATCAGAATAAATTAACGTTAATATAGGGAACTTAATATCTAGTTACAAAGGAATGAACTATTGTGGTAGGACAGTATGGCGGTTCAGCCTGCTGCATGATTTAATATAATAATATACTACGGAAAAATAATGACAAAATAAAGGAATAGGGGACCTACACAACTATTATTAACAATGCCAGTGCACATCAATCAATTTAATTTACCTGTGTTTAAACATTTATTTATTCCTATAAATAGTTCAATTTGTCTTTGTTGCTGCTGGCCCTTCTTTTTCTTTTCAGGTAACTTTTTATTTGTGGAGAGCCGTACGCAAGGAAAACTAATGGAATGCCTACAACTTTTAAACTTTTAAGTCTTGAACTCTTATTAATTTTTAACAATATGGAAATTATTGGACGAACACTTTTAATATGTAAATAATCTACGGGTCCAGCTATGTGGTTTTTACTGCGAGCACTTCGCTTTTTTATACATAAAGCCGGTGGATTCTTTTTCCCCACGTTTTTTTTTCTATCCGCTCTAAAGACGCCAAACATCAGTCAATTGGACCTCCTGTTTTAACTTTATTATGACAAAGGGAGAAGATGACCCGCCCTCTCTTCTCACGACAGCGAATTTATAAGCGTGCTTTAAGGAACTTTTGGTATCCGAGGCCCTTTTTTTTTTTCTTTTTTTTTTTTTTAAATTTGTGTTTTTAATTTATTTTCAAGTGTAAATAATTAAATAAATTAACCTGCCCATAATATCATATTCATTGTATTGGACGTTAAATCTGTAATAAACAACAACAACATATTTTCATTATCATTTGCTTGAAAACGTTGAGAGAACCCTCAACGAAACGTCGCTTTAATTAAAGATACATTATGGGAGATTAGATAACGAGTTGGCAGTTCTCACTATAATAGTTAAAAACTAGATAATGTAAAGGGAATTTGCTAAATAATTTCATTGAAATTGATCCACTATGAACCGAGAACTAAGCGACTGAAATTTCCGCCTAGCCTCGATCATCATTACTAAAGTCAGTACGATAAACAGCATAGTCTCGATTATCCATTTAATCGTTAAATCGTAGCAAGATTAATAA